AAGACGTGCTTAAGAAGCTGGTGTCTGAAACGGAGGGTGATGATATAAATATCTTAGGACATCAGCATTTCGATTTACTGGTGAAGTATGCGACTTTTAGCGAATTTCCAAAATTGATGGTCGATCACTTGCGAAATGTTTTGATCGACAAGGCGATTCTCGCTTATAAAAAGAAGTCCCTATACTTGGACTTTGTGAAAGACGCGAACTCAGTGACACCCAGGTAATACGCGAACAAGATATTTCAGGCGATACGAAGTGTCGAGTGTCGTGATAATCCAGATGATGTGGTTTGACTTATCAAATGAGTCGTGGTGTCATTTGAAGCGTCGGTAAGAATCACGGATTTGATATTTTGAGCATGCAGTTTAGGATCAGTTTGAGCGAAAAGCGCTGACTTTGCTTGAGCTAATTTGAAACAATATTTTTTGGTTGTATTTGTGTGTTATTTGTTACTGAAAAGAACTAAAATTTATTCTTTATGACTTATCGATAGCAAAAGTACCAAGTCAGTCGTTCCGTTACTAGTAACGACTGGAATAATGTTCGTGTTGCGTTGGCCTGTGCGTCACGGCTCGGTGCTTGACTCAACACAATATTTTAGTGACTTACTACAACAATAGTGACGACAGTAAGTTTGTGTTATCTAACGTATGACCGCTCGCTCTTGACTACAAAGTTGGTCATATAGCACCGAGGTATCGAGTTTTAAAAAATACCGCAGTACTGTGGAGGCGAGAGATCAGCGCACGGTTAATGTGAGTTGTACTGTTGTCACTTTGTTGACTAAAGTATAGGGAGCTGTAGCCAATCGGTCGATGATGAATAGTTTAGCACTTGAGATCATGTCAGTACTTATCGTATAAAGTGCGGATATATCATAGATGTTTTTTGTCCGAAGGAGAATAGTACATTTGAATTTCCAGCTTTGTCAAAATACTCTCGACAATTTAATTACGTACTTATACAGAATAATGTCTATAGTATCTTATTATCTTATTTTCTACTTGACTTTCCAAGGATGCTCCCACTACCAAAGGAAGTATGTAGAAAAATATCAACAAAGGCGATTATAATATCTCGAATACTGATGCGCGAGTATTAAGTTTTTACACCATTTTTAATCAAATCCGTTTTGCAAGCATCGTTCCTACAGCAATAATTAAAAGAAACAGCCCAGACTAGGACGATGTTGTTCCATTCGCCACAAATGCTCCCATTACCTAGCGCAGTACGGGATGATTAATATCACCTTGTCTTGAGCCATCAAGCTACTAAAACATCATTTTGTCCACAATCCAGGATTGCTACGTGAATGCGAGCTGCTCACGGACATAAGGACGTCCGTTTGTAGGAAGGATAGGAGAGAATCAGGCAAATGAGGTTCTAGATTAAAGAGAATCTTCTTCATATCGAGCCCATTAAAGACGCTCGACAAAAGTAAGTGTGCACATTTTCCAAAATCGACGACAATCAGGCTTCAGCCCAATAAAAACATCGTCAACATCCGCTAGAGGAGACTTGGTGCACGTATTACGAATTTCAATGTGATTACTGCCGGACTGAGCTGGTCCAATTCTGATACTCTAACTAATGTAAGAACCAAACTTTTGGCGTCCTTTTCTGTTTACGTCGTTCTTTGATAAAAGATATTTTGAAAAAATGCTAAGGAGCCGCCGGTCCCAGGGTTCGATTACGTTCGACATCGCCTTGTTGTGGAAACAAAGCGTAACGATGGTACACTTTGGTAATCAAGATTTCTTAGTGTGATTTTGTCAAATTCAAACAATGATATTGGAATTATAATCAAACGTCAGTAAAAATGAAAATAAGCAAGGTAAGATTTCAATATATATTGACTTTGTGGCACGGATATGAAGCCTGCTTTTGTTTAGTACGACATGGGCTTCAATCACAGCTCCCTGCGTATGGCAATACGTGAACAACTTGATGAGACTCGTAAGGTTGAAAGCTTAAAAACTTGGTTCATTTCTTTCTATCATGCCTCATATCGCCGTTTAAATGTTGTTACTGATCTGACGCTGTGCTACTGTAGGCTCTAATTTTGATTAAGTCTCTGTTTTAGGATGCATGTTTCGCTATGGCAATGCGTGATGTAATGAAATTGGTCACTTACATCTCTGTGGATGAGAGATCAAATGCCAGTATGCTTGTTTGTACCACTGTATTGAAAACTTCGCGATCAACGCTGACTGATAAACAGCACAAATCCTATTAGAATTATAGACGGAGCCATCAGGACAGACAGTCTGAGCCAAATGACACGCAAAATTTCAAATAATGTCTACAATCAAACACAACGCTACTACCGAGCTTGCTCTCAAACTGAATAAGCCTAATTATGTGCATTCTATGATCACGCACTGCGCTCCAGTGGCCAGGAGTCAGATCTTGACCGTAATCAAACCCAGTTTTTTCCGCATAAATTTCTCACAAATCGTATCTGATTGGGCGAAACTACATTATTTAACCATCAAACTGCGACGTTTAGGTTGTAAATCGTGGGACCGCAGCGGCTACGCACATGTTGATTCAACATATTTGACCCGTAAACATATATTGCCACCGCAATCTTGTTGACCAACCTGAAAAATTCTCTTGAGTTTTGTATGGCCGTGCTCTCAGTCCGTTATTTTAAACGCTTTTTTCTTTTACATGTACCTCATTTTAAATTATGCCTGCTCAACATCAATCTATGCACTGCTCTTCATTAAATGTCACCGAGAGAACAAGATTTGCTGAGATCTCGCCCCTCAACACGCAGCGAGACGCTCTTCTAGCTACAATTCTTTCTCGAAATATGGAAAAATCGACGTCGAACAAAAAGCGAAGCTGCCCGTTTGATGAACCAGCCAGTCGTCGTCACTCTAATGATGACATTAAAGCACTTCAGCACGACGTTGAAGAACTGGAAATTAGGCTGGCGGCCGTTACGAGAAAAACCATTAAGCCAACAAAAAAACTTCGTTCTGTCCACCACCACACCATATTGCAAGCCTGCTACCAACAGGCACAACAGAAAATAAATGCCAAACGCAGCTTCTCAGTCTTACCGAAATGTGGTCAGCTTGAGTATGAGCACAAGTTGGACGAACCGGTATATCAACGGTTAAATAAAAGTGTTGCCCTCCAGTACGAGCAACTGGCTCAAGTGTTTAGTGACGCTGGACTCAATCAAAGCCGAACGGACTACTATGATGCTCGAGTGGTCACTGGCACCCAACAGGGTACATTTGTACGCTTTTCATTGGCAAAAATAGCCCCATTTGCAGTCGCTGCTGTTAACAGTGCCTTGTGGAATAGTGTAAAGAAGAACTCAGTGCTAAAAGTGGGAGCTGATCACGTCTTTGAAGGTAGCAACAGTAATACGGTGTATCTCAAGACAGAGTGTATGCTGCAAGGAGATTCAAGCTTCATTCCTGTTCTGCTCCGTGGTGTATGTCGTCGCTTCGTGGAGTCAGACCGTGTGGTTGTCGTGTGGGAGGGCACTGGGGATTGGCCAAAGGATTATCTGCGTAGTCATCCAAGCTGCGCTCCGATCCGAGAGCGTGGATACTGCGTTGTTCAGACACTACAAAGTGATAAAAACAACAATGTGTGCGCTCCACCGCTTAGTTTATTTCAAAGCTGCATCTGCATGACCCCAGGGCTGTCGGATGATATCGATATGAATCAGCCAGAATGCATTCAAATGCTTACTGATGTTGTCATTCCCTCCTACCGTAAATTATTAGACGCACGCGAGCACATCCTTGAAAATGCCCTTCTTGACGAGATGATTGACTTAAAGACTGGTGGTTCTAAGTTCAGGTTATAATGTTAGTACTATCGCAATAGATAGGGTTTTGCTACAATAAACACGTCATTTTATTGCACTGGTTAAGGATAAAAGCCCTAAATCACCCAGATATTTCTGGTAACGTGTGTTTTGACGGCTCAATATTCATTCCAATTTGGACATCGCCACAACTCAACATCGCTCCAATCTGCGCAGATCAAACTCTACCTGGAGACTGCATATTTATCATCAGAATACATACTGCATACACAATCATTTGAATGTCGTGCAGATAAAAAGCTTGGAAAATTACTTTTATTTCCGGCTTTTGAGAATAAACAAATAAGCTGAAATCTGATCTTAAAAAATGACTTAAAAAACCATGAATTACTTTGAAAATTGACAGTCCAGAAATTTTCAAATTCAGAGTAGAACCTGCATTACTTCCAAACTGTTCTTTGTAGACTGTCTCTGCTTTTCTGTAAAAAATTGATTACTTACCAAAGATAAGCGTACAAAGGACGGGAATGTGTAAAACGATGCTATAGCGCTATGTATGTTTTGTAAAGCATCTGCGTCAATGCTGTCGCATTTGACAAACTTTTTGACGAAGCTCCGCTTGACCACCATATTGTTAGCCTCCATATGACCTAATCAGTCCCTGATCGACAACACTTTTGCAATCGACTAAGGCCAGTTTACGACCGAAAGGATTTGATGATTTCCATTAAAATAGCCTAAGTCGACTTGTTGGAGTCTCTGCTTAATCTTACATACACATGCTAAGTCGTGTAGGCTTGAGACGGAATCGAGCGGTAGATTGTACACAACGGCCAGTAAAAGGTACAGTGCATAGTATAGCTGGTCACTGCCTACCTCAATAACGCCTTTCCTGAGCACAGGCAGCGACTGCGTCGTATTTAGGGTTTAAGACAGGATGGATGATCATGTATCACGGCCTTGGCACACCAGCTAATGTAAATTTTGCAAGATTTATGCACAAAGTATTCAAGATATGAAATGCGTATAACACGAAACAGTCTCGACAGAATCAGCTCTTTTTGATGTGTTTCAGATGACAAAGTCTCAAGGCGCAGCGCTATCACCACAAACTTTCTACTAATGTGGCGTTACCCAGTCGTCAATTCACTATGTTGTTGTCCTTAAGTCATGAGCTGATATACTACTTCAGTCTCCCATGATACTAATACAAATAACAACACACAAATATGATCAAATGTATTGTCTAAAGCAAAAGTCAGTCCTCGCCTCTAATGCTCAAACTGATCCTACACCAATGCTCAAACTTCTAAATCCGTGATTCTTGCCGAGGCTACACTGATACGTCAAACCACATCATCTGGATTATCACGACACTCGAAATTCATATCGCCTGGAGTATCTCACTTTCGTGCTACCTGGTTGTCACTGAGTTCGCGTCTTTCACAAAGTCCAAGTAAAGGGACTTCTTTTTATAAGCGAGAATCGCCTTGTCGATTAAAACATTCCGCAAGTGATCGACCATCAATTTTGGAAATTTGCTAAAAGTCGCATACTTCACCAGTAAATCGAAATGCTGATGTCCTAAGACATTTATCTCATCACCCTCCGTTTCAGACGCCAGCTTCTTAGGCACGTCTATTGCTTCTCTTTTTGTGATCACGAGAGCGGCGTGATAAAAATAGTCGCAAAGATCAGC